TATATATATATATATATATATATATATATTGTTTGGTTTCCAACCATGGTTATAGATTTCAAAGAGGGTCATTGATAAGTGTTAATTTATTAACCTTATTACATCATTTTCTTAACCATTTTCACTTGTTTTATTTGCCCATTAGTGTCTTAATTGAGTCTTTTTATGTCTTCTTCATATATTTGTGGTAATATATCATATCTAATGTTAATTCCCTGTTTATGCAGGTTTTTGATGATTTTTGGGCCAAATCCTRCAGSAGTCCTGTAGGAGCAGGAGTGGCAGAATCCTGTAGTACCTGTCCATGAGCTGCACTTTTGCCTAGGCCGAGAATTCTTGGGCTGCTCCCTTGAAGTTGCTGGGTCAACGACCTTGGCCTGGTCAAAGCCGATTTTTGAAGCGCCTTTTGTCTTATTAGGTGACTCCCTTAGCCTATAAATAGAGGCTTAAGGCTTGGTTTTAAAACACTTTTATTTAACTTCTTATTTGTTTATTCTCAAATATTTGAGTTATAAACATTTGCTCTCTAGATTATTGCTTTCGATATTTCAAGCTTTCGGTTTTCTTGCTTCCAACCAAGAACCGATTTTTGTGAAGTGTGATTTCGTTCTCAAGTTTAATTCAAGTGCTCGTATTTAATCTTTATCTCATTTATGTTTTTATTTCCAAGTTACGTTACGTTTTCTGACTTTTGTTACGAGTTACTAATTAGTCGATCTCTGTTGCTTTACTTTGGATTTCATCTTTTGTGGCTCACGACTAATTTACGTAGACTAAATAATTTGTTTTTAAGAGTTTGCAAGTATCCTTTTTAGTCTTTGTAACGAAACTTGTGTTGCAAGTTTTGTTACTTGTCTTGCAAGTTTTTTTCAAAGTCAAACTCTCTTTTCAAGGCTTTYATTAGTCACTTCTTCATCCCATCAAGTACTAATATCCATCATGTCTTAGTTTAATATTAATTAATAATATTTAGTTATTAATAATTTAATTTCAGTCTTTTACATTTCAGTCTTTATATTTCTGTCATTTGCATTTCAATATTTATTTTTCAGTCTTTACTTTTCTGCATTTTACTTTACTGCAATTTACTTTTCTGTAATTTAATTTCCAGCAATTTACTTTCAGTCATTTATATTTATGTCATTTAATTTCTAGTACTTTAAATTCCAGTATTT